GGCAAAAAGCTGTTTATGTTGCAGAGCAAAAGGAATTAGAAGATTCTGATGATCGAGTGAGTTTAAGAATCACTTTTCATGATGTTTTTTTTTAAAAAAAAAATTTCTGTGTATGATTATTGACTTTAAATGTGATATAATTTATTACTAGAAATTCGATTACGTGCCGTCTTGGGGCGAAAAATTCTATAATAAGCGTGCTCCCTTAATTGTTGTTTTTGATATTTCAACAAATGAAGCAAAAGTTTTACCAAAGCTTGAAAAAATTGATCCTGGACAGGTTTGCATTACAATTATATTTAGTCTTATATAAAAGGCTGATCTAATTTCAACATTAATAAATTTTATATAAAGGTTCAGTTTGGTCCTGAAGATAAATCCCTTATTTTTACTGGATATAGTAATGAACCACGACGTTTTGGTATTGCAGCGTGTACTAATCGATTGTGAGTTTAACCATTTTTCATGAAATTTAAATCAACATAAAAATAAATGACTTAACGATCTCAATTGTAGAGCTGGAATATACCAGTGTCAATTGGATGGGTCTAATCTAGGTGAGAATCTATGTAATTAGGTTAATTTATACACCGTTAAATAAAATGTTAATAAAGTTTATTCACAGAGCATCTAAGCGACAATGTTGAGCATGCACGGTCACCACGACTTAATTTGTCAGGAAATCGTTTAGTAAGCAATGCGTTTTTTTTTTTTTGGTAAATTACTCTAACTAAATTACTTAATCATGTTTATATCGATGAAGATTTATATATCTAATCCATCCGGCGGTCCACATAGCCGATGTTCGGAACTTTATGAGGTTAAGATTTGCTTTTAATTAAATTAGTAGATTTTATTTATCTATACTAATATTTTCTTTTTGCAGTACAACTTTTCATCAAGGCAAAATCGCCTCATCGTACCTATTGTACATTCTCCTTCACCATCTTTTCATAATAACTTTCCTGGGATATATAGTAAATGTATTCCTTTAAAGGCATTTATTACAATTGATGGCGTTGAGTTCATTTTGATGCACAGTAATTGGCGTAGTCAACAAGTTTTATTGGCAATAAACCTGTCCACTGGTAAGGTTCAAAAATTGACTACGATCGGAAGTTGGAATTTATTTTCAGCATGGGACAAGTATATATTAGCATCGCAAGGTTCAACTACCGAATTTCATAAGTTGGTAAGTTTGATATATATATATATATATATAACTTATTTATTATTTTATCGTTATTTCTATCTTACGGTTTATACCATTATATTATCATTTTAGCAACTTGGAGTGATAACTGGTTGTCATGAAGACAACTTGATTGTTGATTGGACAGTGATTGATCAGCCTGATGTAGAAAAAGGTATTTTATATTTTTATTCACCCTAATTATTATACATATTAGCATTTATGCTAATAAATTTTACAAATGAAAATTTCCAATACATAGTGGCACCTACTCTTGCCAAATCCACATGTTCCATATTGCAACCTTTCGAAAACAATCCTTATTTGGAATTAATAGTCCACAAACCCAAAGAAGTTCCTTTAGACAAAAAACCACCTCTCATCGTTATTCCACATGGTGGACCGCATGGTGTTTGTGTTACAAGTATTAGCTTGACTATATCGACCCTAGTTTCCTTGGGTTATTTTATTGTGGAAGGTATTCTTTCAGTCATTGAGCTAGAAATTTATAGAAATAAAAATTGGTCGCGTTACAAAAGGCTATACCAGAAATTCTAATTTTAACAAAAAAAAATAGTTAACTACACGGGAAGTGTTGGCTTCGGTCAAGATTCCGTTGATGCACTTATTGGAAATATTGGTAATTTAGAAGTTGAGGAAGTTCAGGTATAGCAATATATTAAATTGTTAACAAATATCCAAAATATAATTATGTAAAGCGTATAATTTTAATTAGGCTGCAGCACAGTATTTTATTGATCAACACGAAGTTGATCCTGATGCGATAACATTAATTGGTGGTAGTCACGGTGGATTTATCTCTGGGCACTTGATTGGAAAATATCCGGTAAGTTAAGTAAATTTTGAGTAAATGTTTTTCTTAAATTATGTTTACTAACCTATTTCATACTTTCATCTAGGATTTTTACAAGGCCTGTGTTTTGAGAAATCCAGTATTAAATATTGGAGGTAAATAAAATATTTTTTTTTATCTTTTTAATTACCTAAGATTTTTATTGACGATTTCAATTAAAAATAAGGAATGACTTCATCAACTGATATTCCAGATTGGTAAGGAATAATTTTTAATGGTATTTTGTTTTGATTATATTTCTGCCATTATATGCTTATACTGTATATTACATAATATAATAAACAGGTGCTTTGCAGAACTAGGCCTTCCATACTCTTTATCCAAGCCACCAATTCTCAAACCATCCGATTATGCCAAGATGTATGAAAATTCGCCAATTTCAAATATAGATCAAGTGAAGACACCAATTTTACTAATGCTTGGAGCAATTGACACTAGAGTACCATACGTTGATGGATTGGCGTGGTGGTACTATTTGAAAGGACAAGGTAAGGTAGAGATACAATGTAAGATGTATAAAGAGACCGGACATTCATTGGATAGCATTGAAGCTGAAATTCAAAGCGTTGATGCTATTACTAAATTTTTAAAAAATAAGATTGGATTGTAATTTATATTTTGAGTGTTAGGCAATTATGACTACAATGATGCTATACCCAATGTTGGCCTTCTATGTTCTACTGTTTTACTATAATGGTTTATATTAAATTATTTATAGATTTATATTTACCTTTTAATCTGATAACATATTTATTTAATAATTATAAATCTTTTAAGGGCTTTATAATTTATCGCTATAGCGATGTATCGCCACCCTGGATCTAAGATCCCCCGAAAATCAAAATTCCGAAAATCAAAATCCCGAAACTTAAAAGTCGCATCATGCGATGTTGGGGTTTCAATATTCAACCTCCGCTTATGATTAGTAATATATAGGTAATCTATATTATTAATCATAAGCGGAGGTTGAATATTGAAACCTCGACATCACACGGCGCAACAACTAAGTCTCAGGTGGTAGCGATACATCGCTATGGAGATAAAAAATAAATCCATTATTGGGGGCAAATTTTTTATATGTAACAAAAAATGCACTATTGTTTTATTCACGAACCAAAATATTCTATTGACAAAACTGAATATACCATATATAAGTACTCCAAGTTTAGTTAAAACCTAATGAAGCAATTATTTATAAAATTTGTATAAGGTGGTGTTCATTTGTGGTATATGTTATTGTTAAATTTGTGAAAGCCAAATTTTGAATTTTCATTGAGATATTAAAACTCTTGACAAAGGATCATGACCATATTTTTTTCCGTTTTTTTTTTTTTTTTTTTTTTTGCCTTATAACTGCTGTCCAAAATTGATATATTGCCCATTTTCCAATAGTGGGGCTGACTAAATTTTGATATTTAACTATACGAAGTGTTTTTAAAAAATTAATCTAGAGCTTATGTTGCTTTATAAAAAATCTAAGTTCTTGCAATTCGAAATTGATATTATCGAACATAGGTTCCATTATCATAAGAAACCTTTCGACTAAAGATGAACGCAAAGCCAATTCGACGCGCTTACGAAGGTCTGACTATTCTTTAGTATGTGTAATTTCGTTTTGAAATTTTAAACTGTAAAAATTGATAACAACTTCTTCCAACGTTAAATTATATATATATATATTCTTTCTTTTATTGCATCGTAATTACTAATCTATCTGAAGAGATATAAATAGTACGTACTTGATCAGAATTAATGCATGATCTAAATTTTAGGACAATGTCGATTAGATGCTACTTCAGCTAGATAGTTACTCTAGATGCAACACACGTAGCGGTATGTATATAATTTCTGTCATTATGGTTGCCGCACTCAAATATTCTGGGGATGGCTAAAGCCAGGTGTGTTTATATGTTTTTTAATATTTAATTAATATTAGGGTAAGGGTTGGCGAGGGGTT